AGCCATCAGGAAAAACAAATCCCTTAGTACAAAATATCTTACTTCCTTCCAACATCACGAGTAAGTATGCACCATGAATTAGGCTGGCTTCCTGTGCGTATGCAGAGTGAGTGATAAGTGCTCTAAATGCCTGAAGTTTAAACCTTTCAAAAGGACCAAATCCCTGCAATCTTCTCTGAGCAGGTCTTAATATGGTTGGACTGTGTTTTAAGTACCCCCCGGATAAAACTCTTAATGGTCATCATAAACTGTAATCCAGAGAGATTCTGCTCTTAATCCAGGATCGGGGTCCAGGAAACTGTTCAGTGCAAGTCGAGTGCAATCCCATTTTATGGAGCGATATCTCTCCTGTTCCGACTTGACTGCATGCAGAGCTGCCGGTTACCAGTAATTATGTATGGCTCATCATCATCAGTGCACCATCCTGTGTTAAAGTAACGTGGAAATTGAACAGACAGATGGTTGAAAGCAGCCATTTCATATAAAAGGCACATTTTGTCATTTTGAAACCTCTGGTTTTCACGACTGATTTGGTTATTTGAGTTAAAGCCTTAACGGTTGCTAGTACGATCCACTCACTAGGGGCCATGTACAATATGCAACACACATGCCGAAGTAAATTTCTATCAATTTTTTTATAATGAATCATAGGCCAGAAAAAAAAAAATATGCCTTGATTTCATTTTTCAATGTTGGTAAGATGGTTGTGGTGTAAGAAGAAGTAGAGAAACTCAGAAGTTTTTGATCTATGTAGATCCAAAATGTGCCTTGTGTATAATTAATGAGATAAGATATCATTGTTGATAAAAATTTGCAGCAGTGGAAGGTCAAGAAGGATCTTTTAATCTAAACTTTTAAGTCGACGAAGACAAGAAATCGCTCAGGAAATAAATGAAAATGTTTGAAATTCCACGACAACTGAGCCTCAAACTGCTTCAGAAGATTGAGTGATAAGAATTCACGAGCAGCTACCAATGCATCAATAATAATAATGCATATATTATAAATGAGACAACCCATTCAACTTTGGCTACAACTATTATTCCCATTACCTATTCATTCACTGATTATTTTCTTAATTAATTGTTTAATCTTTTGGTATGTAGCATGTCAGAGTCATTACAGTTTCCCAGAATCCAAGCTAATGTCTTCAGTTGTATTGTTTTGTGGACTGCTTTTGCTTAGAAACTGCTTCAACGTTTAATCATTTGTCAGAATACTTGCAGATTCATTTTCTGTTGATCAAGTAATTGATCAATCAAGTTACTGTTGCAGCGCATTGAACACACACACATAATCTGCATAATGAGTGCTTTTGATACATAGCTACATGTAAATACCTAATTCTAATGGTAATTTTTACATTGTGATATTATTCCTTTTAATTAAGTATCTACATCTTCCACCATTGCTACATGAGAATACGTCATACACGGTATTCCTCTCAGATGGGTTATTGAACAAAGCTTTACAGCCTGACCACCGTTTGCCCAGAAGTGATTTGCTAAAATATCACAAACTGCTGGATGACCAAACACAGCAAAACACTGATTTCTGAAGATAGAGGAAGTGCAGCTATAACACCACACAAATGACACGTTCGACCATAAAGTATATAAATCTCTGTTGCTTAAAGTGCCTTGTATATAGTGGAGTGCTAACATCTAGGAAGTGAGAAATTGGTATGTACAGTACTTTAAGTGTTCTAAGGAGATGCAAGTGGCTTTTTGTCACTGAAAGAACCAAGGGTGATTCTTAGGTCAAGGTGATTTGTCATGTCAAGCTACTTTTTCACCTCCAGTTCTACAGTATGGTTGTTCACCAACCTGACAGCCTTTAGCAATGCCACACTGTTTCCTGGCTCCACTTCATAATTGATGAGGAACTAAGGAAAATGGGATTTCATCCAGAGTGAGGGTGCCTTTTAGGCCTAGGACAAATGTATAGAGGTGCTCATTTTAACTCTTCATCTTAAATAACTGCAATGCCACTGAGGAACGGTGAAAGGCTTGCTCAGAGGCAAGCTGGAGGACAATAATAAACAATGAACCATTACTGACTCTTCAGAGGTAATATATGGAAGCAGGGTACATACAGCAGTGAGGATATAGCACTACCATGATGTAAATTCCCACAACCCCCCATAATTAAGTGAGGTCTGTTGTTACAGGAGGAGGGTGATGATATATCAAGCTGATGGTTCAGTTTCAGACACGATAATAATACAAGTTGGTCACAGTATAAGTTCTGGTCTAATGATGAGGAAAAAGTAGATTATGAATTTGAATGCTGCTTTTTTTGTTTGTAAAGATAATGTTGATTTTAAGTTTAAAGTATTCTATTTTACGTCATGTTTAGTGGCCATGGTTTTGTCATAAACTGACTACATTGCACTACATTAGATGTCTACATTAGATGTTTTCATAAAGTAATAAAGATTAACAGTGTTTCCTGTAATTTCCTATAAAAGGAGTGTTTCCTGTAATTGGCATTTCTATGAAAAAGTAAGTATTGGTCTAAGCTGAGTCACATATTTGGCTGTTCACCGTGTTTGTGAAACGCTTTAAGAGTTCAATTCAACACTAAACCCAATGTGTATAATTAAGTTCTATTGAGCGTTGGTGTTAAATTGACTCTTGCTAGAGTGTATTTTTCTATATAAATGAAATATAAATACAGTAAGAAAATGACACAATTGACAGTGTACACTTAAGCTTTATTTAATTAAACTTATGAGTACACGTTAAATAACTCAGGAAAAGGAAAACATTTTACACTGAAGTTTGGTAAACTTGATTGTGGAGCTGCAATGATCAAATAATCAAAAGATAATTAATCTCTATTTGGTTGATCGATTAAAGGTTTCATTAATTTTTCAAGCAAAATGGACTTTTATTTGTTATCAAATAATAATAATAATAATAATATATCAATTTTCTATAGCGCTTTTCAAAATACCCAAAGACGCTTTACAAAATAAATACAATATAATCAATTCATTCAATATTTATTTTTGTGGTTTGAACTGTTGTTTCAACAAAACAAGACATTAGAAGTCATTACCTTGGAGTCTGTAGAGGATATACTTTTTTTTGACATTTTTTTAAAAATTCATAGACTATCAATTGATTAATCAACAAAATAATCAGCAGATTAATGAATAAAATGATAATAATAATTAGTTGTAGCCCTTGTTTATTGTTGTTGACCGTATAGTTTTTGTTGAAACAGCATTTTCTGTTATATACCGAGGGTTACTTTATTGTAACCTTACCAAACAGGCCGCCGACGGTGCCATGCTGCGTGTAGACTGTGCGCGTACTGTAATGGGAGGGCCTCTTACCACCTGCCTGTAGGCTTGGGAGATGCACTCACAAAGCTGGCCACACCATCCCCGAAGCACACAACCAGCTGTTCAGTGTACTTGATGGCGGCCTTGCATTCTAAAACATGCCAAGACACAAACTGGGCAAAGAAGATATAACTATTTCTCCCTATCCCCACATGTGGTGGAAGACAAAAAGCACCCAGCTATAAAGCCCTGGACATGAAAGAACTCCTTATGTTCCAGGAAATAAAGGAGGAATTTGTCAAAGGGTGGCCAAGCTGCGATCAGCACAGAGCAGCAAGTAATTGGGATAAATCAAAAGGGCGGTTAGTTTACATATTCTCTTAGCTGAGGTCAGTGACGCTCAAAAGCTTCAAAGGGACTTTTCACAAAAGCTTCCACTGCCATTGGTGCGAAGCCTCCTGACCTCTTGCAATATCTGCTGTGGCCAAAACATTAATGTGTGGAAATGTCTGAAATAAACTAAACAGCAGCCTTGTCAGCCAAAGAAGAAACCGTCAATGTTCAGGTGGAGAGACTTCAAAGCTGGAACCACACCAGGCTCAGGTGTGGCGTATCAGCTGAGGATCAACACTTAAAAAAAAAGTAAGTAAAATATCTCAAATATAAAAGATTATAATAATAAAAAAACATATACAGTATATATTTGATGTGAGTGTGTGTAAATAGTTCCTGCCAGTTTTTGATCTATTTCATAGAGCAATGCACTGCACCATCAAGAGCAAACAGCTTTGGTTATATAATGTTTACAGTTTAAACGTTGATGAAAAACTGTTGCATAGCTTTCTACGTTTAACATGGAATTAGAAAAAATATCCTCTAAGCCCTGAAAAACGCATTTATAATCTCCAGTGTTTGATAATGCTCTGAAAACATATTTAGTCATCAGAATCAAATCAACCAATTTCTCAAGCCAAACCATTAGCGACAACAAAAAAAAAAGAAAACTTTACTCATGTCACCAAATGAAATGTCAGCGTAGAAAATGTTACTAATTTTCCTGATACGCTATGTCTAAAAAGTAACAAAATGAGAGTAGCAAAGAGAAACACACCACATCAGAAATCTCAGGGGGTGATGGGCTTTAATCTTCTCTCTTTTGCAAAGCTTTGCTCTCTGCGGGGGATTCTTCTGACATGTGGAGCACACTGTGTACTCCGCCAGTCATATGAAAAACAAATGTCTCGTACTGACCCTCGCACCCGGAGATCAAGTGAATCTAAAAGAAAATGTTTTCATAAGGAATCAAAATGTTTTCTCTTTTTCTTAGCCTTTAATAAATAATTTAGATGCAATCAAATCTAAAGGAGGATGATGTTAAGTCCAATGAAGAGGTTTCAAAGACTTAAGAATCAGGAAGGTGTAGGTGGATAGACCATCGGTACAGTGCGGATAATTAAACTACTAAACCATGTTTCGCCTGTGTTAATTAACATTAATCACAACATATGGACTAGAATAATGCATGGCCTCATAGAAACAACCCTGTGTTATAGTAGAGACATATGCAATTGCAGGCAGTTTAAATCTTACAGGATATTTGCAAACGTAATACTTTATCTTAAAGCATAATGTAACACTGCTCAACAGCACACGATTGCTTAAGTGCCAAGCAACCCCAAAATGAGTATGAGGAGAAAATTAAACTCACCTTGGCTACCCTGTTGGCGACCTCCCGACCCACCATTAGCCCCTGGACAAATGTCCGGGCAGCGATGAAGGCCCTGGTGACCTGGGCCTTAAGTTTCCTTGGCACATCTCCAAAGGGCTTTAGCTGATCTGTGTATTTACTGACGCACTCCAAGTAGTCGTCTGTGAAGTGGTACTGGGCGTTGAGTAACTGGAACATGCGCTCTAGCAGCCTGGACCAGAAGTCATTGAGCATCTCCTCCAGGTTGACGTTGCCCCCTGTGTAGTAGCGCTTTAGCTCAGTGAACAGGTCCTGGAACACCTCCGAGTTCTGCATGTACAGCTTCCCGTACGTCCTTGTGAACATACTGTTGAGAGACTTCTCAGAATTGTCCAGCAGCTCCAAGAAAAACTCTAGATGGATGGATGGTTTGGGGAGAGGAGGGAGAGATGGAAAAGACAAACAGTTGGATTATTGTGCCGATATTTACAGTATCTAATGTCTTTTCCTACAATACAAACCAGACAAAAGGCTTTGAAGAGGGCCGTTTAATCTAGTCAGAGTAGTGTTGTTGCACTTTAATGTCTCATTTTATGGCTCTGTCTGCGTATACAGCGCTAATGTATAGCAGCCAACGATAGGTACTTGATTATGTGAAGAAAGTCAGTCCAAAGAATTAATAATTTAGTAGCAGAAATAATGGGCCACAAGGACTATGAATGATTAATGTAAAGGTTCTGATTGCATACTGTAACAAAATATTCATAAGTTTTAGACACAGACACTAGTATACATTATCAACTGGAGGGTCCACCATTATTCCCAAACGCATTAGTTCCTCACTGAAACTATTTATTTGTCAACCGAGACAACTGGCCTCTGGACCTATAATTGAATATAGTGTTACAGTATATTGAAAGAGGCTTAATTCGCTTTGAATTATCTGAAGGGTATGTTTAACATAGGATACAAAATGAGACAAGCACATCTGTTTTATTTCTATCATTATTTTTGCCGTTAATTCAGTACACACACCTTACACTGTGTAACGTTGTCTTTCAAAAATAAAACATAATAAATGTCTTTCACCTTTCCTTAAAGCTAAACTGAAATTTGAAACCGTCTCAGTGGTCGTGGAAAAATAAACTATAATGATTCTGCCCTCCAAAAGAGGATGAAATCGCCTTCTGTGGAAACAGTGTCTCAGCTTCAAACCTTTGTTTTCCCATGGCAACGGATGACTGACACCTTCTCTGGTGGTGCGGTACTGACTCTTTCTTTAACAAGCCCACATAGGCTACAATCACACCGCAAGCTCACCTCTGATTTATTGCAGATTTTAGTTTTTTGTTTGGCTGTTCAAATTATTTTAAAATGTGGGCAATATCAGATTAATGTGTGAACTGGTCACGGTTCTCACCCGCATGCGCAAAAAACTATAACAAAGATACATGCAGTACACTGTCATACCTAAGTAAACCTAGATGCCTCTGAAATCAGCTTTATGATTTCATTTATAAGTCGATGTGCAGTGGAAGTCCACGAATTCATGAGCAGACGATAATGACGATGAGGAGAAAGAGATATTTCTGAATATACTTAATAATAAAAGGATACAATACTACATTTTTTTCTGAGACTGTAAGATATGTGATTTATATTGTTTTACATTGTTAATTACTGGAAACACAGACAATAAAATGCACAAGTGTAACTATAAGATTCCCCATTGACATTCATTCCCAGCAATTACATTATTGTTTCTTCTCATCTGCCCAAGTGGCTTTCTTCCATTAGAGCACCTACTCTCTTGAGCGTCACTACAGCCAAAAGAAAGGAAGAAAAAAGAGACAAAAGCAGCATTTGTTGGGGATTCTCACTGAAGGTGAGCAAATCAGGATCCCAACAGTGTATGTTGGAAAGATCATAACACATCTCTCCATGCACAAATGCCAAATATAACACGCTGCAGACATTTCACAGACATTTCACATGTCATGCTTGCTAACAAAACCTACAGGGACTCTTCTCCTGGTCGGGTATTTTTGTGTGACACTTCTTTGGATTGTTTATGATTGCTGTCACACAGCTACATGGGTTACGTATTTACTTCTAACAATGCATTTCCCTCCTGAGTTGATACGACTAAACCATATGGAACGATGAATAAGTTCACATGTAGCCTATTTTGTATATTGTGAAGGCGGGCTGTGCTGTATGTAATCAAGGAAAACAAAAATCTAAGAAATGTGTGAAACATTGAAAAACATAAGAAATGCTTTGAAATAATTTGTATTCAGTTTGATGAGAGGTCATGCGAAATACTGAATCGTGTGGGGTATAAAAGTACATTTATTAAGGTACAGTGACATTTTATTATTCATTTTATTTTTATTTTATATTTGATGGTCAGAAACTAACAGAATGCTGTAAATCACATTGTCAACGAACACTATCATGCTGGTAATCTTAAACCAAAAACATGAGTAGAAAAATATATGGATGATTCAGACTATCATGGCCTCACACTGTACATCACACTCATTCATTACTGTGTGAATCATTCAATGATATCAAACCACAAGGGTCATTCTGGCTTTGTGTAAACTGTTTTAATGGGAAAATGTGTAAATGAACTAGTGATTATGTTAAGTGGGATAATACAAACACTCTGACAACAGCTAGGTTCAAGGGTCAAACTATGTCCTCTGCATGATAATCCACAGTTCTGCAAAGTAGGCTAAACCATTATTGCGAGTGCCTTAGAAACTCCCTGTAATATACAACGTCTGCATCCTCTGGCTCTTCATGCGAATGTAAAACCAGAGGTTTGATTGTCCCTCCATTTTCAAGACTGGTGGGAGTTACAGCTCTTTCTTAACTGCACTGGAATCCCTTTTACTCACCTTATTTGCAACTTGCTTAGCCAATCCTCTTTTGTCTCTAGTGGCACCTTAAAAAAGGTAGTAGATCAGTCCCTAGTCACTCACTCTAGTTTCTTTGCAACTAAGTAATGTGCCATTACACCCACATTTGTTTAAATATTAAAAGCCTGCAGGGATTTTTCATTCAATTTTTCCAATTGGACCCAAATCAAGGACACGTAAGCCCCTGTGTATTGGGCATGCAATTTTGTATCTGTGTTACCATTTTAGTGGCACTAAAGAGAATTCATATCACAAAACAAAAGTAACACTATATTAATCATATGGTTTAGTGTAGTTATATGTCAAACAATTGATACATATGTTTACATTTTAAAGAAATGTACGAACCCTTGGCCAGAGTTACTACATTTGACTCTTTGTGTTTTAATTGAGAATGCGAATCATGACTGAATCAGGCTACCTGACATTACAGGGTGTTAAGAAAGAAACAGTGGCAAAAATTAAGTTCACTCTCTCTGTGTCTGTGTAAAAGGTTTAAAAAAAAAAAGATTAGGAGAGTATTTCATGTCTGCATAGTCCATGTAAGATTCTCAAGTTCAATGCAATTATTTCCATGAAAGAAATGAACCAGTAAAAGAAGGCTTGACTAAGAGGAATTGCGCGAGGAAGACCATTCTGAGCTCACAAAATGAAGTTTCACACAGGCTAGTTGAGTGAAATTAGAGGTCATTAAGAACAGATCACGCATTCTTTTGTGCAGTACTGTGAAGTCACTATGAAAGACTGGTAACAATTAGATAATTCAACCTGATAAAATAATGGCTTTGAGAATGTTGTATGTCCAGGTAGTGGTGACTGATGGCATTCAGGGTTTCTATGATTATATGCAGTTGATTTAAACCAGCTCCGATCACGTTGTTGGATTGTGGTCATTGACTGAAACATAAAGAGTGTCAGGCTGCATCCACAATGCATCCCGATAACGAGTTTTCACTTTTTTTTGTGAGAATGTCTTGCTTGGCCCCACTAAGGCAATGACATTTTTTCAGATAACCATTAAGTACATATCACTTTAAGCAGTTGAGCAAAGTTTAAAATGATATAATCTCAACTTGAGTTCTTGAACTAAATAGCACACTTAATCACCACTCTGCTTCTGCGTAACTAATGGGCCTTTATGTGATTTCAAGGCCTTTTACCTGATGGAACAGACTGTACTGAGACTTTCAGTTAGCAGCTACAGCTTGCCAACTCATGAAGAGTGAACTGCTGTCTGCTGGCCAAAATGCATGTTTGGCCAGGGAATTATTATTGAGAGTAATTGACCTTGGATAACATTCAGCTATCCGGTCTTTAGGGTTTTAATACTTGGAAACACGTCAATACATGGGTGTGTGCTGCTTACTGACACAATAGATTTACGAATCATCCAAATCTCTCAAGAAATGAAGAAAAAATAAAAGGCAATATGGATGTTGCAAGACAGAAGGATGGGCTTCAATTTCAGAGCTTAACAATCTATATGAGACAGTGTTCACCAAAATATTTATCAAAAGTGTCATTTTTTGCTTATTTAACTAACTTTAAGATATAATAAAATACAATACATAGATTGTGTAATATTGGTTTACGGTACAAACAAACTGTAAAATGAAGATATAATAAAAATCTGTTTGAGTGAGAGGTCAGGGAACGGACAAAGACCAGCTAACATTTTGAAACTTCATGATGTGAGAAGACAAAACTACACCTTCTTACTGAGTTTATTAATACACATAAAGGCACATTTAACAATGACAGTTCGACAGCCTGAGCAACACGTATTTGTTGACTTCCACTGTACAAAAACAATTTGTACCTATCTTCATGAGATAAGTCATTCTTCTTTAACTGTGTAGTGGTTTCTGAATCCCATCACCAAATGATTAACTCAAGAGTTTAACAAAAATTCAAGCTCAGTGATGCAATGTACTGTATTTTTAATGAGTTTTTGATGTGTAGAACAATTCTCTCAAGGTCTTCAGGCTTTGTGAAATTAATTATTTATTTTTTAGAGTCTCTAAAAATCCAATAATAACAATTATTTTTGTTGTCTTGATTAATTGTATTGTTTTTGTTTTGTAACATTAAGTATCTGTAAAGTTGTTACATAAAGCTGCTGACCTATGATCATTATTATTGTAATGCATCATTTTGCCACCTTCACATTTTTCCTACGGGATAGCACGTTAAAAAAAATCGTAATAATCAACACAAAAACGATGGTAAAGTGAACCACCCCATTAGTGCCAGTCGTAATTGAGGCTGCACTGTGTTATTTTCATATTGCATACAAAATAGAAAACGTGTTAGTACCCTTGAAGTAATTCTGAGCGTAATGAATCAATTATTCTTGAACAGTTGAAAAGTGCTCCTTTGATATCTGGCCTAATTACTATGAATAATTACCATGATTAATAAAGGTGACCTTTCTGTTGCTCTGATAATAACGCTTATTCTAAAAAAGAACAACTGCACTCACCCAT